CCTGATAAAACTGGAGGCTTTTCTTCCAGAATTCAGTAATGTCAGACGGTTGCTTGTAGCTTTTGTTTGCCTCTGAAATACAAAGTGTATTTGATGACATAGTCTAAAATACAGATGTTCAAATGGAAATTTCTTAAAATATACTTCTTACCTTGGTACTTTGAATATTTATAGTGTGTTCTTAGAATTCAGTACGTGTTTTGGTTAAGTTTGTCTCATAAAAATATTTTCTTAGGAACAAAAAATATTTTGAACAAAAGAATGGGAATCTTTTTTAGTGTATGCTATTACTGGATTAGTCATCTCAGGCTTTACTCTTGGCTCATTAATAGTATAACCTTAGTTAAAAGAGCAAACTTTTTTTTTTTTATTTTTTTGACAGGCAGAGTGGACAGTGAGAGAGAGAGACAGAGAGAAAGGTTTTCCTTTTGCCGTTGGTTCACCCTCCAATGGCCGCCATGGCCGCCGCACTGCGCTGATCCGATGGCAGGAGCCAGGAGCCAGGTGCTTTTCCTGGTCTCCCCTGGGGTGCAGGGCCCAAGCACCTGGGCCATCCTCCACTGCACTCCCTGGCCACAGCAGAGAGCTGGCCTGGAAGAGGGGCAACCGGGACAGAATCTGGCTCCCCAACCGGGACTAGAACCCGGTGTGCCGGCGCCGCTAGGCGGAGGATTAGCCTAGTGAGCCGCGGCGCCAGCCAGCAAACTTCTTTTAATATTCCCGTTTTCTATGAGACAAAATGAAATGGTAGAAATTTTGTAGTTTTAGAAAGTGTTAATAATTGAAATCAAATTTTCAGCCAAACTTTTTCAGTTTAAGGAAATAAAAAATAATTTTTCCAAATAATTTCTACCTCTTTAATTCACATGAATGAAATACTTAATTAAATGATAAAACATTTTTCAGATCTGTTCAATCCATTGTTATTTTAAATCTTAAAACTTTTAAAATATATTACCTCAACTTAGAAACATATTTTCTGAAAAACAACTTTTCTTTTTCTCAGCTAAGACTAATGACAAAAAAGTTTAATTTAAAATGGGTATTTTCTTAACTAACCAGCACTTCCATTTGTTCTGTCCTCCCTCATGGCTGTAATATTGTATGGAACAAGGCAATGCTATGCTTGATATGGTTTTTTTTGAGTGGAATTACTGACTTCATATGTAGCAAGCATTTCACTTTTTAAAATTCACTTTAAAATTTACTCATTTACTAATAGGTAGAACTAAGGTCCTTTTCGTCCCACACAACTACACTAAAATAATACCAGTACATGCAGCATGTAGAAGACCTTTAGACTTTAAAGAAACCTTTGAAACTAGTTTGGTTTTTTTTGTTTTAGTAATTATTTTAAAAAAAATTTTTTTTATTTTATTTGCATCATGTGGGTGCAGAGGCCCAGGCTCTTGGGCCATCTTCCACTGCTTTCCCAGGCACATTAGCAGGGAGCTAGATCCAAAGAGGAGTAGCTGGGACTTGAACCAGCGCCCACATGGGATGCCAGCATGCACCACAGGGCCGGTCCTGTTTTTGATGACTCTTCAACAATGTCAAATGCATTGTTGACATCAGGAAGCGGTCACAAATAGTTTTGCTCTGATTCTTAGAGTGTAATTTTGAACTACAGTGGGCTTAAGATTGAGCATCAAACAAGTAGATTTCTTCTTACATAAGAAATACTAAGAACGGGGCTGGCGCTGTGGCGTAGGGCCAGCATCCTATGTGGGTGCAGGTTCGAGTCCTGGCTGCTCTACTGCGGATCCAGCTCTCTGCTGTGACCTGGGAAGGCAGTGGAGGGTGGCCCAAGTCTTTGGGCCCCTGCACCCACATGGGAGACAAGGAAGAAGCTCCTGGCTCCTGGTTTCGGATCAGCTCAGCTCTGGCCGTTGCAGCCATCTGGGGAGTGAATTAACGAATGGAGAACCTCTCCCTCTCCCTCTCTCTGTCTCTGTAACTCTGCCTTTCAAATCAATAAATCAATAAATCTTAAAAAAAAAAAAAAAGAAATACTAGGAATAATGAGTGGTCCACAGCACCAAAATCCAGAATTCTTTTCTAAAGCAGATATTCATAGAATGTGGTGGTCTGCAGTATTGGAAGCCTGGTTCTGCCAAGAATCAGTAATACATTCTGCCAACAGCCAACTTAACCATTCAGACAGGGACAAAAAATCTCATATACATGAGAAATCTTGACAAAGTTCATGGACAATGTGTTTTATGAAGAAATTAACTATGCATAGATTTGAATTTTTTGCACTATTCACTTAACATCAGATTAATATCTAGAATATATAAGTAAAACTCAAAAATGCAATAAGAACAATGTAGAAAAGAAATGGGCAAAGGATATGAATAGAAGTTTCTCAAAAGAAAAAATATAAATGTATGACACATGTATAAAAATGCTCACTATCTTTAACTCTGAGAGAAATTCAAATCAAAATCACAGTAATATATTATCTCATTTAAATTACAAATGAATATTATCAAAAATATAAAAAAATCTGGCAAGGATGGAAGAAAAGGGGATCCTAAAAAAAAAAAAGAAAGAAAAAAGAAAAGAAGGGTATCCTTATACTCTCTTGGTAGGAATACAGGTTAAGACGGCCACTGTGGAGAACAGTGTGGAGGCCCATGAGAAAACTGAAAGGAGAGCCACCGTATGACCCAGCCTTCTCACACTGGGTGTTTGTATCTAAAGGAAAGCAAATCAGCCTGTCAAGTAGATACCTGCACTCCCATATTCATTGCAGCACTATTTAGAATAGACAAGATATGGAATCAACTTAGGTATCCATTGATAGATGAAAGGATATTATATGCAGTAGAATATTATTTAGCCATAAAATTATACTCTGATGTTTGCAGCAAAGTGGAAGGAACTAGAGATGGTTGTATTAAGTGAAATAATCCAGACACAGAAAGACAAATACTGCATTTTTTTCCTCTCATATGTACAGGTTAAAAAACAAACATACATTAATCTGAACCTAGAATAATGATTACTAGAGACTGAGAAGGGGAGGAAAGGGGGAGGGGGGAGGCAGAATGGGTGACAGGTACTAGTACACAGCTAGATAGAAATAATGGGTTCTTGTATTCCATAGCACAGTGGCCCCACTATAGTTCATGATGGTGTATTATATACTGTATAAAGAACTGGAAGAGAAGAACTCACAGTCTCCAAGCACAAAGAAAAGATAGGGACATAAAAATGCTAATTACCTGATTCAATAAGTCTTAAAAATTTTCACCATGAAATTTTTTTTGTTAAGATTTATTTATTTGAAAGAGTTACACAGAGAGAGAAGGAGAGGCAGAGAGAGGGGGAGGGGTCTTCCATCCACTGGTTCACTCCCCAATTGGCTGTAATGGCTGGAGCTGTGCTGATCTGAAGCCAGGAGCCAGGAGCTTTCTCCAAGTCTCCCACGCAGGTGCAGGGGCCCAAGGACTTGGGCCATCTTCTACTGCTTTCCCAGGCCATAGCAGAGAGCTGGATTGGAAGTGGAGCAGCCGGGACTTAAACTGGCACCCATATGAGATACTGGCACTGCAGGCGGTGGCTTTATCTACTACGCCACAGTGCCAGCCCCAACCATGAACTTTTTGAAGTACTTGGTTATGTATTTGTCTAAATAGTTTTAACTTTTTATGGAACACCACAGTATAATATATAGAAGAGCCTTCCATTTGATTTACAGATCTTTGGCTAGAAGTTTTTAGTTTTTTTTCTGTTATATGAATTAGCGAAAGCAGTTCCCAGATGTGCAAGGAAACCTTTGCCTCCAGGCTACTCTCCCCTTGGTGTTCACAGCCTTTCATCTGTCAGAGAATAAACAGCTTTCTCTTATTTGCTTCTTTGTATTTTTTTCTTGCTTTAAAATTCCTCATTAAACATAGCACAGGTTAAATTGTCTTTAAATAATTTGATTTCATCAGAAATATGATTTAATAGGAGATACACAGAATTGTAAGAATATTTTTGCCTCCTTGAGTAGTTCATCTATATGAGCTTGGGCAAACTGCTGTAATCCCTTGCTTGATGGCAAATTTGATGAAATTTACAGTTCATTTTGCATTTATTATTTCTTGGGCTTCTTTGCAAGTATTAAATGTTATGTTTGTAAAAGTTCTTGGTAAATGGAAAAAATCTTCAGAATCAGTGGTATGTTTATGAGCATATAAAAGTCTCCTTTTAGCCTTTATAAACTCATGCAAACTGAAAAGAGCAAGACATGCAATTTACTAAAGTGTTTTCATTATAGTTAGGGTATTACAGGTAGTTGTCAAATGTAGTATTAATAGATGTAACCATAATGATCCCTGATTACTAAAGTAAGCTTGTTTTTATATAGTTCTGTGTTTTAATAAAGATGATGATGTAATGTTATCATATTCTTTTGTGGAAAATTACCTTAGGCCCATATGAGTATTATGTTATTTTTTCAGAAGTATTTTAAAAGCTATTATCACCAAAACAGGAGGCTTTACTGGAATTAGCAACGATAGGTTCATATTCACAGTTCTGTCAAAGAGAGTGAGACTTTCTTTTTGATAAGCAACAACTTTGCTAACTGATTTGTGGCATTGCAGTATTAAGATTATCATAGATTAATCTAGTATCAGATCTTCTGAATTCTTAATATAGTAAATAACCCTTGAAATTTCAGAAAAACAAATTGTTTTTGTTGTATATATAGAAATAGTGTCTGTATATTTTCAGAAATAGAACAATTTAAGATCCTGAATTTGCTGCCTTTCACTTTACGTTTATATTGCTTCTGTATTATGGAAACACTTAGACTACTTGTTGTTATGGTGACTGGTCCCCCTTCCCACCTTAGTTTAAATACATGCCAAGATTTGGTGATCACATTTTTAAAATAAATTAAATAAAATAACTTTTCCTATGTTGTTTAGAGCTAAAAGTGTTTTCTCTAGAGCCAATGTTAGTCTGTTTTTAGTATTTATGTATGCATGTTTTTCATGTTGTAGGAGATTTTATGAAGATGGAGCAATTGTCTTGGGTGAGGAAGCAAATATGCTTGCTGGCATGCTGCTGGGACTCAATGCTATTGATTTCAGGTACTTAGCCAAATGGTTCAGTTCTTAAATTATTCTACTTTATAGTAGTTTCTACTTAGGATTTTTTTCTTTCAGTTTTATAAGCGATGTACACAGTTGGCTATTGGAGTTTGATTTGTGGATTTTGTTTCAGAAAGAGCCTGTCTCAAACCTAAGTAGCTGACAGGCTTGCTCCCTGATTTGGGTGAGCTTAGTTTAAATATTCTGGTGTCACTGAAGAAAAGTTTCTGATAATTTCTTTCAGGATCTTCCAGTTTTAACTTTACTGTGAGAAAAAATAGACTAAAAGTACATTCAATCCTAGAGAAATTCTCATTTAATGTATTGAGATAAAAAATCTGATAGGATGTCATGTTTCTGGGTTAGGTATCTAATCTATTAAATTGTTATTTCCAACAAGATGAATCGGTTCTAGACTAAGATAACAAGTGCTAAAAATGGATATTATGGATTCTTCATAAATATATGGAAACATTTTTGTGCTTTTCATTCATTGATTTCAGATTTTATGTTAAATGATTTGTCTATAAGAGAAGTTAAATTTAGAAGAATGAAGGAAGCCGGCGCCTCTGCCTGCGACGCCGGCACACCGGGTTCTAGTCCTGGTCGGGGCGCCGGATTCTGTCCTGGTTTCTCCTCTTCCAGGCCAGCTCTCTGCTGTGGCCAGGGAGTGCAGTGGAGGATGGCCCAAGTGCTTGGGCCCTGCACCCCATGGGAGACCAGGAGAATCACCTGGCTCCTGCCTTTGGATCAGCGCGGTGTGCTGGCCACGGCAGCCATTGGAGGGTGAACCAATGGCAAAAGGAAGACCTTTCTCTCTGTCTCTCTCTCTCACTGTCCACTCTGCCTGTCCAAAAAAAAAAAAAAAAAAAAATGAAGAAAACATATTTCACTGAAATATAAAACTTTAAAATTCAGTAGTGTTAATAAAATAAGATTGAAAATGTACTTTTATGTCTTGAAATTAAAAAATTTTGCCCATTTTCACAAAATTTATCTTTTTCTAGTAAATCACTTGCTTTTCAGAATTTTTGTCATTTTTTAATCTAACTTAAGGTTTAATAAATTAGAATAAAGTTAATTACTTTAAACATTTAGGATGAGCATGATCAGTGGAGTATGAGGTTATCTTTTTGATCCCTTTAAAGATGTTAATTTTTTGTATTGCATATTGCTGGTTCTGTATAAATCTTGTTAAATCTTGTTTTTTTTTTTTAATTTACAAAAACAAAGCAAAACAAAACAAAAACCCTGGGTAAGAGATGTTAACTGTTGGTTTATTGTAACCCATTGAGATCTATTAGTAATTTTCCTGTAACACTAATGGAAATGAGGGAAAGACCACATAAAATTTTGCGACTTTGATTCTCTCCTTATTCACATCTGGAAAAATACATAAATTCCCTTGATATTACTGTTAGGGCAAGTATTTTATCAGGCTAACTTATGAAAGAAACCAGAAGGTGAGAATTTATACATGAATTTTTTTTCTGTAAAGTATCAACCTACATATTACAAATATTCCTGTCCTTCTCTTCCTAGAAGATGCACTTTTTTTGTTTCCATAATGGTAATCCTAAAATCAAACACTTTTCCATGTCCTGTGATCTCTTTCTACATCCTGTCATATAGAAAGAAGGGTTACTGGATTGGGGTACAAGATTCACAGTATGATTTTGGAAAAGTCAATCTTTTCCTTGTTTCCACGACCTCATAAAGGACTGAGTGAAGATTGGAGGTCCAAGATCCAGGTCTTTTGACCCATTCCAATAGTTTAAAAGCCTTCATTTTCTACTCCTATCTGTGTGTGGGATATTATCTTTTCACCTAATGTTACCAGTGATTCAGACCCTGGGAACTTGTTCTATCAGTGACGAAGAATGTGGCTGATAAAGGAGCAGACGAGAAAGTCATTTTAGCATAGTTTATTGGAAAAAATGAAGATACAGAAATGGCTACAACTGGTAGACCAATTGGGTGTCTCCGTAAAGGGCTGAGAACCCAGTCTGCATTCAAACTGAAGTTTTTGTGGACATAAGTATGGGTCCCCCGTTTCTTCTTCCCTTCTTCTTCTTCTGGGTCAGTCTGGGTAGGAGATATTTGGATGTGCTTCTCCACTTCTATCCAGCTCCCTGCTAATGACCTGAGAAAGCAGTGGAGGGCGGCCCAAGTGGTTGGACATCTGTACCCACTTGGGAGACCCAGAAGAAGCTATCTAGGGAGTGAATCAGAAGTTGGAAGAGCTCTCTCCCTCCCTCTTTCTTTAAAAAATCATCTGGAATTTAGTGAAGCAAATATCTCTAGCAATAGTTTGTCTATAACATTTACTTGCGATTTAAAATTTTCTGTATTAATATGAATATTTGTTTTCTGTTGTCTTAGCTTTTGCCTCAAGGGAGAGGGATTGGATGGCCACTTTCCTGCTGTTATAGACTATACACCATATCTGAAGTTTACCCAAAGGTATTTGCCATTTTGAAACATGTTACTCATATCTTAATTAAGTGTCTTTTGTGGTACAGAGTTCACTTGATTAAAACTGCTTGTACAAACATGTGCTTCAGTATCAGAAATCATTAAAGAATATAAACTCCAGTGTTGTTTTCAGTATTTGTGTAAATACATACTGTTTACATGATTGTAATCCCAGCATGTAGTTTTTACATAACAGAGACATTTATATTGCTGTAATCCTTATAAAAGAGTAAAATCTTGGCCAGTGCCATGACTCACTAGGTTAATCCTCTGCCTGCGGCACTGGCACCCCAGGTTCTAGTCCAGCTCTCTGCTGTGGCATAGGAAGGCAGTGGAGGATGGCCCAAGTGCTTGGGCCCTGCACCTGCATGAGAGACCAGGAGGAGGCACCTGGCTCCTGGCTTTGGATCAGCATAGCGCGCCGGCCGTAGTGGCCATTTGAGGGGGTGAACCAACAGAAGGAAGACTTTTCTCTCTGTCTCTCTCTCTCTCTCACTGTCTAACTCTGCCTGTCCAAAAAAAAAAAAAAGAGTAAAATCTTTAATAGCTCTGAAACAATCCATTGAAATTTGAAAACCATAACTCACTATTTAGGGTGTTTTCCATGTCTCCATTATAAAGAGAATAATGAACATTGTACAAATAATTTTGTTTCAATTGTAAATTTTCAGTTATTACAGTACATTAAATGAAAATAAGTTATGACTCAAAGTATATCGTATGAAAGATTTTTACCATTTTTTCCTACTACCAGTATTTTAGCAGAGTTCTGGGTTTCTCACACTTTCATCAGCATTGAAAATTAATCAGATGAAACTTACAGATGTTGTTAAAATCTGCTTGAAATTTGCTGAATAGAACGATGACCTTTATATATTTCTAAAATGTTATAATCAGACTGGAGCTGTAAGGTATTAAGTATATATATATATATATATATATGTATATGTGTAGTGACTAAAAATAATGTAAGGACACATACATTGACCATTTGTTGTATGCCTAACATAGGAGAGACATTTTTCTTGTTGCCTGGGATCATAAATATGGAGAATATGAGAACTTTATGAATTTCTGGAAAAGAATACAGTCCTTACCTATAAGACAATCTCTGTCCAATAAGAGAAGTCATTAACATTTCAGAGCTAGGAGTGTGAAGATATTTTGGATGGTAAGGAAGGAGGAAGAGAGGATTAGGACACCAAGATTTCTTTTTTTTTTTTTTAAACTTTTATTTAATGAATATAAATTTCCAAAGTACGACTTATGGATTACAATGGCTTCCCCCCCATACCGTCCCTCCCACCCACAACCCTCCCCTTTCCCACTCCCTCTCCCCTTCCATTCACATCAAGATTCATTTTCGATTATCTTAATATACAGAAGATCAGCTTAGTATACATTAAGTATGGATTTCAACAGTTTGCTCCCACACAGAAACATAAAGTGAAAAATAATAGATGAATTTTTTTTAAATGATGATGAAATCAGAGCAGACCTATTGTCATGTTTAATCCCAGTGAGAGTCAAGTTGGGAATTGATAATTTCTTTTTTTTTTTTTTTTTACAGAGGATCAGTTTAGTATGCATTAAGTAAGGATTTCAACAGTTTGCACCCCCATAGAAACACAAAGTGAAATATATTTTTTGAGTACTCGTTATAGCATTAAATCTCAATGTACAGCACATTAAGGATAGAGATCCTACATGAGGAGTAAGTGCACAGTGACTCCTGTTGTTGACTTTACCAATTGACACTCCTGTCTATGGCATCAGTAATCTCCCTATGCTCCAGTCATGAGTTTCCAAGGCTAAGGAAGCCCTCTGAGTTCTCCAACTCTTATCTTGTTTAGACAAGGTCATAGTCAAAGTGGAGGTTCTCTCCTCCCTTCAGAGAAAGGTACCTCCTTCTTTGATGACCTGTTCTTTCCACTGGGATCTCACTCACAGAGATCTTTTGCCAGAGTGTCTTGGCTTTCCATGCCTGAAATACTCTCATGGGCTTTTCAGCCAGATCCGAATGCCTTTAGGGCTGATTCTGAGGCCAGAGTGCTATTTAGGACATCTGCCATTCTATGAGTCTGCTGAGTATCTCACTTCCCATGTTGGATCACTCTCCCCTTTATTTACTCCATCGGTTAGTGTTAGCAGGTACTAGACTTGTCTATGTGCTCCCTTTGACTCCCAGTCCCTCCACCATGACCAACTGTGAACTGAAATTGATCACCTGGAACAGTGAGATGGCATTGGTACATGCCACCTCGATGGGATTGAATTGGAATCCCCTGGTATGCTTCCAACTACACCACTTGGGGCAAGTCAGCCTGAGCATGTCCCAAATTATACATCTCTTCCCTCTCCCATTCCCACTCCCATGTTCAACAGGGATCACATTTCAGTTAATTTTCAACACTTAAGAATAACTGTGCATCAATTACAGAACTAAACCAGTCATATTAAGTAGAACAGATAAAAAAACTACTAAGAGGGATAATGTATTAAGTTGTTCATTAACAGTCAGGGCTATGCTGATCAAGCCACCGTTTCCCATAGTAGGACACCAAGATTTCTAATATGATTATGTAAGTTGATTCCTTGGGAAAAGGGATATATAATATATATATATTATATTATTAATATTAATAATTAATTATTATTAACATATATAATAATATTATATAGTATTATATATTATATTATATTATATATAATATATAATAAGTCTAAAAAAGAAATACAGCTGACTGTTTTCAGAAGGCATAAAATTATGCTGCTTTGAGATATTATAGAATATAGAACACTTTGTGAGGATGACTAATAGTTTGAAATAATATTTATTGAATGCTTATTTTATAGAAGACATTTTTCTAAGTGCTTCCCTTCTATTAATTCATTTACTTCTCAGATACCAGAGAGGGAGGCACTGCTATCTCTATTTTACAGATGAGAAAAGTGAAACACATAGAGATTAAATAACGGGTTGTGGCACAGTGGGCAAAATACAAGTCTGGAATTAAAGATTAAGGTGTCATCTGGAGAAAGGAGTTTGATCATCGTAGATGGAAAAGAAATTTTGAATGATTTAGGAAATGATAAATAAAAGATAAAGATAAGTTGAATATAAATACTAATATTTCTCTATACTTTAAAAAAATAAAATAATGGAATCTTCTCAACTGCTGCTTTTATAATGAACTTTTAAAAAAAGATTTATTTATTTGAAATGCAGAATTACAGAGAGAGGGAGAGATATTTTCTACCTGCCGTTCTACTCCTGGAATGACTGCAACGGTTGGGACTGAACCATGCCAAAGCCAGGAGCTTGGAACTCCATCCAGGCCTCCTATCTGGGTAGTTGGGCCCCAGTACTTCAGCCATTCTCGCTGCTTTTCCCAGGCTCATCAGCAGGGAGCTGGATTGGAAGTGGAGTAGCCAGGACCTGAGCTGGTACTCATACGGGATGCTGGTGTCCCAGGTTGCTGCTTAACTCACTGTGCCACAACTGCTGGTCCTTGAATTTTTTTTTTTTTTTTAAGATCTACCCATTTATTTATTTGAAATACAATGAGAGACAAAAGATCTTCCATCCACTGGCTCACTCCCCAGACAGCCTCCATGGCCAGGGCTGGGCCAGGCCAAGGTTAGCCCAAAACCCCATCTGGGTCCCCCATGGGTGACAGGGCCCAAGTACTGGGGTCCTTTTCTCCTGCTTCCCAGATGCAATTCAGGAGCTGGATTGGAGATGAGCAGCCATACTGTGCTCTGATATGGGATGCCAGTGCGGCAGGCGTTAGCTCAGCCTGCTGCCCTACAAGGCTGGCCCCTCTTAGAGTGAATTTAATCATTTAGACCCTTTATCCCCAACTGCTTAGCCACTTTTCGTTTATTTTTTCTTTAATTTTGTCTTTGGTGCACTGATCTAAACTTGTATGTATAATTTGTCCTTCTTTGTATGCTGAAGAATTCCTGTTATCCTGTTGTAAAATGGAAAGTGAGAAAGGCAGAACCAGTTCAGCCTAGTCATAGCCACTTGGTATTCCTGACCTTAGGATTTTTCTTTTTGGAAACATTTGAGCTATCCTAGTTGCTACAGAGAATTGATAGTTTAAAAATGAAATTGTTTCTGTGGAAATATATCTTAATTAGACAAATTTGGAGTTGCTTTCCCTGAGTTACTATTTGATATAATTTTAACCTTCCACATCCTTACATGTTTTTTCCCCATTGGATTTTAAGCTAGAGAAATCTCGTAAGAGGATATCTCAAAAAAGTCATGGAAATTGGAATTAAAGCAAGTTTATTTTGGTGCAGAAAAAACTTTGAATCTATATATACAAGAGTACTTCAAAAATTCATGGGAGATATATATTATGAATAAGCTATACAGGAAAAAAATTGCTGCACTGAAAATTATCCTTTAATTTCATTTTCAATTAATTTTTGGAGTATACTGTTAGCTAACGATTGTTGATCTTTCATGATTCTTCCAAGTTTTCACTGTTAAACATAATGCCGTTTTCAACATTCTTAGAGCTATATCTTGCTTAAACATGGTTGTTGTGTAAGCATTGTGGCACAGTGGGTTAAGCCACTGCTGAAGGAGTCCCACCTTTACTTCCTGTCCAGCTCCCTGCTAATGAGCTCCCTGAGAGGCAACAGGGGATGGCTCAAGTAGTTGAGTCCTGCCCCCCTGGGGTAGACCTGGATGGAATTCCAGGCTCCTAGCTTTGGGCTGGCCCAGCCTTAGTTGTTGTGGGCATGTGGGGAATGAAGCAATAGATAGAAGATCTCTCACCGTATTTCTTTATCCTATTATGTTGAGCTTTAAATAAAAACAAATAAACCTCTTTAAAAACCCACATGGCTATTTACTGAAGAGGTAAATTTCTGCAAACAAAATTGCTAACTTAAAAAGACTGAACATGATCAAGTAAGCTGTTAAATTGCTCTTCTTGGAATGTTCCATCTACTTTTAGTAAAGATAAATTAATCATTGCTACCTAAGGCCAGACCTTTGACCTAGTTCCCACATCCCATCCCTTCTCTTCTGTCAAGGTCTTTTCACTAGCAGTTACCCACCACCATTAATTGCCCCTCTTTTCTAGATATTTCCATATATCACAGAATAGAGTGGGAAAAATCAAACTCAGCTCCTTTTATTACACACTCACAACACCGATCACTTCTGTGATCCCAACACATGGTTTTTGTCCCGACCAGGACGCAAGCAATGTTTTCTGCAGCAGACCTCAGCTGGGTGTCCTGTAACTCAGTTTGATCTCACTAGTTAAGGGCTCAGTGTTCGAAACCTGCTCTCACATCTGATGTGAGGCATGAATCTGGCACTCTGGAGCTTGAAACTGACCATCGGCTACAAGCTGGGATTCCCACAGCACCATCTTTATACTCCATTATTTGTTTAGAACAACTCACAGAAATCAGGGCTACGTGGTTACCAGTTCATTTGTTGGTGTTTTTTTTTTTTTTTTTTTTTTTTTTTTTTTTTTGACAGGCAGAGTTAGACAGTGAGAGAGAGACAGAGACATACATACATACAGAGAAGAAGGCCTTCCTTCCGCTGGTTCACCTCCCAAATGGACGCTACTGCCGGGGCTGCACAGATCCGAAGGCAGGAGCCAGGTGCTTCCTCCTGGTCTCCCATGCGGGTGCAAGGCCCAAGCACTTGGGCCATCCTCCACTGCCCTCCTGGGCCACAGCAGAGAGTTGAACTGGAAGAGGAGCAACCGGGACAGAATCTGGCACCCCAACCAGGACTAGAACCCAGGGTGCCGGCGCCGTAGGCGGAGGATTAGCCAAGTGAGCCGCAGCACCAACTTATAGGGTTGTTTTAAAAGACAGATACACGGGCCAGCGCCGTAGGGAAACCCAGCAAGGGCTGTCTGTCCAGGTTCTTTGTGGCCCTTCTGTCGGGCATTCTTTCCTCTCAGGTATGAGCAGGACTGAACTCCTGGTCTTGTAATCTGTCAGCCTGCAAGGTAGGTCAGAGAATTTATGTAGGGCCACATGGCAAAGATTAAGGTACATTTTCAGTTTGAGTGTAGTGCAAAGATTTTTTAAAAAATAAAAGCAGACTTTGTAAATAAACAGATCTTTCTGAGTTTGGACAGATGCCCACCCCTTCTCCTCTACTGCTTTCCCAGGCACGCTAGCAGGGAGCTGGACTGGAAGTGGAGCAGGTAGTGGGACATGCTTAAGAATGACTGGTTTTTCTGAACCCCTTTTACCTTCTTCTTGATCGGTCCTGAATGCTCTCCTGTGTCATAGCCCATTAATTGGAAGTGCTGCTTTTCTGTCCTGCTTTCTGTCCTTTTCTGTGGAGCTTGGACAGTCAGTCACCCGTGTTAGGCAGTGAAGAGAACCTGACTAGAATGCTCGTCCCACACGTCTGGAGTTTCCGGTTCTCTTCTTTCTGAGCCTTTCGTCTGTCTTCCGGATGTTCTCGTGGTTTTTTATGCTGATTACTTAGTTCTGTTATCACTCGTGTATCTTCTCTAGGCTTTTGTGAGAGGAAACCAGCAGCCCTTGGTTCCTCGCTATTTGTTTAGGAAGCTAATTTCTTTAAAATATCATTATTATTATTCTGTGTTTAGTGCTAAATTTATCTATAAATACAGGTACGTTAATCCTAACAGTCAGTTTGAACGTCATACTCATTTCTGTGTGTAATGTTGGTCTTCCCAGTTCTGATAGCATCAGCAGTGACGAGGAGGAGCTGAGGACTTTGGGAAGCAGTGGTAGTGAAAGCAGCACTCCAGAGAACGTGGGGCCTCCCTTCATCACGGATGAGAACAGTTGGTTCAACAAGTGTAAGAGAGTGAAGCAGAAGTACCAGCTTACCCTGGAACAGAAGGTATTTGTCAGTTGTCCAAAGTCACTTAATTTGAGTCTCATTGCCTTTGAACTGTCACTGCAAAAACATCTTTTAACTGAATAAAATTATTGTTCCTTTGCTCCTTCCCTTTGTCCTCCTTTTGGTTAAAAGTCAGGTGAAGTTTTAGGAGATTTTATGTGTTCAACTTCTCCTAATTTTACGTTTTAATATAAAAATAAGACATTTATTCTATCACTAAAAACAGTTGAGTTTATATATTCAAAATTTTTAGTTTCTGTAATTAATTTTAGAAAATGTTAGTTGTGATCACCTGTACACATGTCTGTTCTTTTTAAATTAGGAATTTTAGCAGCTCTGCATGTCAAGCACTGTAGTACACAAAGTGGAGTACATAGCTAAACAGAAAATGCCTTTATCTTCAGGAGATTGTAACTTTTACCTTTTTATTATATTATCTATTTGTCCCTTTTCATCCTTCAAGCATATTGTTCATAGATAAAATACATAGGGAAAGGCCAGTGGAATTAGTGATATAAGTATATTTTTAAATGCATAGAAAAAATGGTAATACATTTATAAATACATAGGGAAAGGCTAGTGGAATTAATGATAGAAATATAGTTTTTAAATGCATAAAGAGAGGCCAGCTCTGTGGTGCAGTGGGTTAAGGCCCTGGCCTGAAGCACCGGCATCCCATATGGGCGCTGCTTCTAGTCCCAGCTGCTTCTCTTCTGATCCAGCTCTCTGCTGTGGCCTGGGAAAGCAGTGGAAGATGGCCCAGGTCCTTGGGCCCCTGTGGCTATGTGGGAGACCTGGAAGAAGCTCCTGTCTCCTGGCTTTGGATCGGCGCAGCTCTGGCCGGTGCGGCCATCTGCGAAGTGAACCAATGGATAGAAGACCTCTCTCTCTCTGTCTCTGCCTTTCTCTGTAACTCTTTCAAATAATTAAAATAAATCTTTAAAAATGCATAGAAAAGATGGTAATACATTTACAAATATGAATGGATCCACTGTATACAAATAGTCTACTGCTTAGACTATGAAAACATCTCAATTATAGCAAGTTGAAATCTTGGAAAAAATATATAAAAAAACTTTTTTTTTAAGATTTATTTTATTTATTTGAAAGAGAGTTACAGAGAGAGGCAGAGACAGAGAGAGAGAGGTCTTCCATCTGATGATTCACTCCCTAGTTGGCTGCAACAGCCAGAGCTGGGCCCATCTGAAGCCAGGAGCCAGGAGCCAGGAGCCTCCTCTGGGTCTCCCATGTGGGTGCAGGGGCCCAAGGACTTGGGCCATCTTCCACTGCTATCCCAGGCCATAGCAGAGAGCTGGATCGGAAGAGGAGCAGCCGGGACTAGAACTGGCACCCATATGGGTTGTGGGAGCTTCAGGCCAGGGCGTTAACCCGCTACGCCACAGAACTGGCCCTAAAGAAAACTTCTTTTAATGATACATTTATTTGAAAGGCAGAGTTAGAGAGAGAGAGAGCTATTTTCCCTCTGCCTGTTCACTCCCCAAATGGCTGCAGTGGCCAGAGCTGGGCCCATCTGAAGCCAGGAGCCAGGAGCTTCTTCCAGGACTGCCATGTGGGTGCAGGATTCCAAGCACCTGGGCCATCTTCTGCTGCTTTCCCAGGCACATTAGCAAGGAACTGGATCTGAAGTGAAATTGGCACCCATATGGGGTGCCAGTGCTGCAGGCAAAGGCTTAACTTTTTATGCCACGGTGCCAGCCCTAAAGAAAACTTTCATACCTTATTAAAAGAGACTTCTGTACCCAGCAAGAAGTCAGATAAGATCATCTGAAAGTCTTTCTGTTTTAAAAATTTGAAAATGCCGAATAGAATACAATTTTAAAGTTTCTTAGAGAGCTGTGCCTCAGAGAAAAAGTTCTCCTTAGGGACTTGAAACACAGAAGGACCTGCAAACAAGAGGATTAAGTACATTAGGTAAAGCCACTGCAGGCCGCAGGGACTGAGGGCCTAATCACTTAAACGAGGCTCTTGTGATTTACTACCCATAGAGGAATAGCAGAGAAAGGTACACAGTCATTCCAAATGGAAACTCGACCTAGAAGGCAGGAGTGACATGCGGAGTGGTAGAGTAAGAAGTACATTGGTGAATAAACCTTCACTGGGTGAAAACAAAAACTCATGACCAGTGTGGGATGGCAGGGGTGTGCTGGAGGGAAGAGCCCCGATTTGTAGAATTAGCCAGTTTCTCTGCAATGAATCCTCTCTTCGTGCTGACTTAAACATACCAAAATGACATTGCTGGTGGCAAAAATTGCAAAGGATTCACAGCAGTGTCATTCAGTATGCAGTGTTTTGACTAGGTGGATGAAGTAGATATAAATGACTGCAGGAATACAGATAATATTAAGTGTCATAAATTAGGAAGTGAGAGATTTTGAATAGTTGTAACCTTCATGAATATAATTTATTGTAAATTCTCATATTCAGTTTTTAACAATAGCAATGTTTATCAAATGACTTACAAAATTTCTGAAAATTTAACAGCCATCTCTTGAGAACTCATTTTCCTACTTGTGGGAAAATGAAGGCAAAGTAGAACTAAAATACTAAGAATATCAAAAAGAATAAGAGAGTAGTAAGAGATTATGACTGAAGCAAAGCTTTTGGAACTCCTTGTATTAAATAGTCAAAGAGGGTAAAGACATTTTTTTAAAAAGATTTATTTTAGTTGAAGGCAGAGTTACAGAAAGGAAGAGACAGAGACTGATCTGTTGGTTCACTCCCCAGATGGCTGCAACAGCTGGGGCCGGGCTTATCTGAAGCCAAGAGCCAGGAGCTTCTTCCGAGTTTCCCATGTGGATGCAGAGGCCCAAGCACTTGGACCATCTTCTGCTGCTTTCCCAGGGAGCTGGATCAAAAGTGGAGCAGCTCTGCTAGCGCTGTGGCATAGCAGGTAAAAGCTGATGCCTGCAGTGCCGGTATCCCGTATGGATGCCGTTTCGAGTCCTGGTCGCTCCACTTCTGATCCAGACCTAGAAGAAGCTCCTGGCTCCTGGCCTTGGATCGGCACCGCTCTGGCCGTTGCTGCCAGTGGGGAGTGAACTGGCAGATGGAAGACCTCCCTCTCTGTCTGTGCCTCTCCTTCTCTCTGTGTGTAACTCTGACTTTCAAATGGATAAATAACTCTTAAAAAAAAAAAAAAAAAAAAAAAAAAAAAAAAAAAAGTGGGGCCGGCGCCGCGGCTCACTAGGCTAATCCTCCGCCTAGCGGCGCCGGCACACCGGGTTCTAGTCCCGGTCGGGGCGCTGGATTCTGTCCCGGTTGCCCCTCTTCCAGGCCAGCCCTCTGCTGTGGCCCGGGAGTGCAGTGGAGGATGGCCCAGGTGCTTGGGCCCTGCACCCCATGGGAGACCAGGAAAAGCACCTGGCTCCTGGCTCCTGCCATCGGATCAGCGCGGTGCGCTGGCCGCAGTGCGCCTTCCGCGGCGGCCATTGGAGGGTGAACCAACGGCAAAGGAAGACCTTTCTCTCTCTCTCTCTCACTGTCCACTCTGCCTGTCAAAAAAAAAAAAAAAAAAAAGTGGAGCAGCGAGGGGCTCAAACCAGTGCCCATATGAAATACTGGTACCATATGCAGAGGCTTAACCTACTGCACCACAGCGCTGACCCCAGAAAAGATACTTTTAATGTGGATGCCTGCTTTCAAATTTAACATCTAGGAGTTTAATTAACAGAATAGAAATGTAATGTTTAAATTTTAAGTGAGTAGTTGGAAAAAAATAGAAAAACTTGATCAGATTAATAGAAGAGAGTAAATTAGAAAAAAAATAATAAAAAGAGATATAAAATGAAGTGGTAGAAATCTAAATATAACCAAAAGATACAACCTCACAATGGAAGTAAATGGCATAAACTTCACAATTAAGACAATTTCTTAATTTATTAAACAATAGCTTTAACATTTAACAACATTCTGTTTGTAAGAGAGACATAAAAGATAATGACAGAACAGTCGAAACTAGGGAGATAAATGTACTAGGCAAATACTAATTAAAAGAAGTCTGTGCCAGTATCATGAGCATAGACATTAAGGCAAAAATCATTTTTTAGACTAAAGAGAGGTATTGCTTTTTTTAAAAAAAAAAATTCACCAGGAATCAGTAAAAGTGTTGACTTTACATACATTTAATAATCTGTTGAAGCTAGGAGCCTGGAACTCCTTCCCAGTCTCCCATGTGGGTGAGGGGCCCAAGTACTCTGCTGCTTGCTCAGGCACCTTAGCAGGGAGTGGATTGGAAGCAGAGCTAGTGCTCGAGCTGGTGTTCCAGTGTGGAATACTGGTGTTGTAGGAAGGGGCTTAGCCTGCTGTACCACAGTAGCAGCCCTACTACACAATTTTTGTGGAACATACTAAGTTATAAAACAAATGTTTTAGAATGGCAGATGTCCTAAACAGCACTCAAGCCTCAGAACCAGCCCTGAAGGCATTCGGATCCGGCTGAAAAGCCCATGAGAGTATTTCAGGTATGGAAAGCCAAGACACTGTGGCAAAAACGAAAACAAAAACAAATGACCTAAATGAAAGATCTCTGTGAGTGAGATCCCAGTGGAAAGAACAGGTCATCAAAGAAGGAGGTACCTTTCTCTGAAGGGAGGAAAGAACTTCCTTTTTGACTATGACCTTGTCTAAATAAGATCAGAGTTGGCAAACTCAAAAGACTTCCAAAGCCTTGGCAACTCATGACAAGAGCCTAGGGTGATTACTGATGCCATAAATAAGAGTGTCAGTTTGTTGAGTCAACAACAGGAGTCACTGTGCACTTACTCCTCATGTGGGATCTCTGCCCTTAATATGTTGTACAATGTGAGTTAATGGTATAACTAGTACTCAAACAGTACTTTACACTTTGTGTTTCTTTGTGGGTGCAAACTGTTGAAATATTTACTTAATATATATAATATATAATCTTTATTAAATATATACTAAATTGATCTTCTGTATATAAAGAGAATTGAAAATGAACCTTGATGTGAATGGGATGG